CTGTTACGTCCTCCAGTGGCTCAAAGGTAAGTGTGAAGACTTATAACGCTGAAAACTAAGTTTCGATATCCCTGATGTAGCTTTGTGCTTAACTACAAACAAACAAATCTTTCTGTCACGCTTGACTGGGAATAGTAAAGTTTAGTACGTACATAATTAGCTCCTATTGCCTTACGTGTCTCTGCCGTCAAATAAGAGAAAACTTCCGGTTCTTTGTCAGAAACCACGGTCTTTGAAATACCATATCGATAAAAAACATTTGCAAGTTTCTTCAGAATAGCTTAGATGCTAACATTTTTAACAAGTACAGTTAAATCCACTTACGAATACATAGTCAGTACGAACATTTAGAAATGATGAAATTATTAAGTAAGAAGAACCTTGATGTTCTATAGAAATGTAAAGATTCCAGTGTGATTGTTTAAGTGATGTAAGTTTTAAGCCCATGGGAAGAATGGAAACTGTGATTTTGATCATTGAAAGACACTTTGAGTGTAGATGGTCTAAGAGGATAAGGAGGAAACCTTCAAATATAAATTTCCCTAATTTGGAATTACTGTCAGGGGAAAGGAACCTAGCAGCAACCTCTGCCACAATTGGTTGTGACCAGCTCTTTTACCAAATAACGGGATTGACTGTCATTTTTTAACGTGTCTATCACGTCTCGAACCCTGGAACCTTCGATCCACAGCCCGATATATTAACCACTAGACCACGCATATCCCTTAAGTGAAACCGGATGTAAACATACAAATAAACTAGTCTTTAATTTCAGTATCTGTTATCAGTAAGTTTCCTAAGAAATTTGTTTAAGTTTTGATTGAGCAAAAGTCGCCCATGGAAGCCTATTTATTTGTATTGTCAATTAAATTATTGCTATAACGTGATCTATAACGGATTAATTGATTTCTTCAGTGATATTCTATACAGATTACAGGCTACGTTCACCAGTAGGCCTAACGTCACAGCTAAACGTTTCAACAGAAATTCCGAAACAAATGTACGCCTAACGAGCAAAATTTATTCGCTAATCTATCGATAATAAACACGCTGATTGACTCACTGACTAACTTCTCATCACTGCGTGACTAATGCGAAGACTGAATCATTCACGAATAAACTAATTTAATCAAAGAACTCCCACTGTCTAGCTATAACACTTTAACTGACTGAACTAATTAACTCACTCACTTATACTGTACTAGTTTTCTACATACTACAAGAAGCTTCATGATGTTACGTTATCATTATATCATGATAAACTCATTCTGGGAACAAATATCTAAACCAAAATATTAAAAATATAGCTTACAACATCATGCTCACTTTAAGGTATATTCAGTTTTATTATTACTCATTAGAAAATCCATTTGGGGGCATTGCAAACGTTTAATTTCAAGTTATGTTCATATTAGTAGAACAGAACAATGAGTTATTTACTTATATCGAGTATTTGTTATTGTTAAGGATATTAGCTTATCTATTTATTTCTATGCATTGATATATAATTACTTTTAGTTCAGACACGCACAATAAGCACTTTTTAGCGCGTTGTAACGCAACATGTTTTGTCTAGGATAGCTTCTGTTTCAATGAATTGAAGCAACGTGAATTGTCTGGGACAGTTTCTGTACTACCCAGTTGAAGCAATGTGTCTTCTCTAACATATTTTCTGTACTATTGTTTTGTTTTGTATCACTGAATAAAAAAACATATTCTGTCTAAGACAGCTTCTATACAATTGAATAGAACAACATATTCTGTCTGGGACAGCTTCTGTACAATTGACTTGAACAACATATTCTGTCAAGGACAGCTTCTGTACAATTGACTTGAACAACATATTCTGTCTAGGACTGGTTCTGTTCAATTGACTTGAACAACATATTCTGTTTAGGACTGCTTCTGTTCAATTGACTTGAACAACATATTCTGTCTAGGACTGCTTCTGTACAATTGACTTGAACAACATATTCTGTCTAGGACAGCTTCTTTGCTACTGAATTGAACAACACATTCTGTTTAGGACAGCTTCTGTACATCTGAATTGACCAACATATTCTGTCTAGGACAGCTTCTGTATAATTGACTTAAACAACATATTCTGTCTAGGACTGCTTCTGTTCTACCTGCATCTTGTTTTGTTCGAAATATTTTTATCTCCTCTATCTGAACGGAACTTTAAATCAAATCAGAAACACAAAGGTTTTAGGCATAGTCTTCTTAATCTATAACATATGTCAGACAGATAATTTATTTCTTTACATTCACTACTTTTCTATCGGATGTTTCATATCTTACACAGAAATTAATCTCAGAAGAATAACCTGTTATACTAGTTATTATTTTTTGACTGTTTATGGTGCGACAAATTGGTTATTTTTCTTTAAAAAATATTCGTCCATTGATTGCGTTGCATTAAATTTATTGTTGCCTAGTGATGACTAACAA